ATTTAAAAATGCTAAGCGTTTCATATCCAATCAATTTGAGTTTCTCCTCTGCTTCATTTTCATAACATAATTTTCAAAGCGGTTAAACTATATGAGCTTTAAACATTTTTATTTCAAATAAGAGTAAAATTGTATTAAAAATATTTTAAATAATAAAACAAATAAAAGTTTTTAAAACATAATAACATTTTAATATTCGCACCAAAAAACTTGATTTGAAAAGTAAGAGTAGAACTAGAAAAAAAAGTTGATTATTTTTGAATGAAGTAATTAAAATTTTAAATGAATTTACCTTGTTATGCAATAAATACGCTATGTAATAAATCTTATCAAGTACAAAAGAGTCATACAAATATTGTTTATTAAACCTTATAGTTATTGCTTGTTTATGAAATAATACTCCTTTATATTTCTACATATTAATATTTAAAAATATTAAATATTAATATATATATTAACATTTAATATTTTTAATTTAATAATTCAACTTAATAATTTAATATTTAGTATTAATTATATTTATAATTAGTAAGCGAATAGAGTAAGTAAATGAAAAGTAGCAATTAGCGACGAATCGATGTTAGAGTTAAAGCCGTCATTCTGTAATAAATGTCCTCTAAGCAGTGGATATGTCACTGCTTTGAAAAAAATTTTTAAAAAATAATCCACAAGTGTGGGTTAATTTTTAAAAATATTTTTTTAATTACAATAGTTTTGACAAACATGTTATTTTGTTTTCAATAATCAAATACATAAATAATCAAATACTTAAATAATACAGTTAATAAAGCAATTTTGTTAAATACCATAACTCATGAGTTACAGTATTTAACTATGCTAGCTATAAAAAATATATACTTGAGACATATATGTCTCAAGTATAGATTTTTTATAGACATACATATATGTCTCAAGAATAGATTTTAATAATATAAAATATATATTTAAATATGTCAAAATCTAGATATGAGACGTAGTTAATATTTTAACTACATAGTTAAAATTTTAACTGTCTCATATCTAGATTTTGTTATGTTACATTACGTTTTTTTTTTGTTAATCAACTAGCGTAATACTTAACAAGTTTTTATAAACCCACATGCAAAAATGTATATAAATTGTCAAATTTTTTATAACATAGAGTTTCATGTAAGATAAATTAATTAGCTTAAGCTAATAATCATGTGAAAATTGCACATAGTTGCATCAAGTGCAATAAATGTCAATGCTCTCTCTCTTTCTGACTTGACTTCATTTTATTCTCTCTCTTACTCTCTTTCTACATTGTTCTCTCACTATATTGTCTCCATATATACAAATGTACATATTAAAAAAAAAAATTATATAGATACTATAGGTCAAAATGTGTTGTTACAAAACATTTTGCACATAGCCTTAGGTTACAGTGCTTCGCCTCAGTTACGTAAAAATAATGGACATTTTGTACATAACATTATGTTACAGTGTTATGCATTGTTACATAAAATGTTACGTCTCAGTTACATAAAAATAACGGACATGTTATAGGAGTAAGTTAAGATGTGTGAGTTAAGTAGATGCGTTAGTAAAAACGTGTAAAAGTTATTTATTATTAACATAATTAATATACCATTTTTTTCAATGCATTTTTAAAATGTTTAAAACCGTAGTCGAATTGTCAAAACAAAATATTATTTGTGTGGTCATAAAAAGGCTTCTTTTTGCACGCCTTTCTGGCCAAGCCTGAATAATATGTAACAACATGTGAAACAAAATGACTTTATTGTTAAAATATCTGAAATTTTCTAATTTTAAAACATTGTTATATTTTAAAGGGATCCCAAACTCCCAACACATGTTGTGTTCATATTAAAGATAATGTTAAAAAAAAAGGTTTGAACCAAATTTTTTTGATTAAAAATAAATAATGAATGCATACCGTGAAAAACAAATGTTGTTGTTTTTGCCGAAGCTCGTCTTCTCCATTTTTTTCAACTAATCGGAGTCTTCAAATTATGCGTCGCAATCTACAGACTTTGGCAATTCCTTTGAAGCGCGTTTAATTCATAAAAGTTTTAGTATTTGACGTCACGGTAGACTTTTAACAAAAAAAAAGTGTAATTAAACTAAGCTGCGTTTTTCTACTGTAGTATTTTTTTAACATACAGCAAAAGAAATTTATTTGCATTATTTTTCCAAACATCGCAAAAAAAAATTTTGTAAAAAGTAAAAACAATAAATTATTTTTATTTTATAGGAGCAACTTATTTTTTACAGATATCTTAATAATTTTTAGATTTATATATCTTACTTATATTTCTTTAATTATTTTAATTAAAACAAATATTAAAGCTTTACTTACCAATCTCATGATTTTCATACGAGTATTTTACTTTATATAGAACGTTTTATATACGGTCTCTTGTTTTTGCGCAAGAGAGCGCAAAGTATTATATATTCTGATTCTTAATTATTTTTATTTAAACAAAGGGAACTATTTTCTAACTTCTCTGGTTATTTTTACGCTATGACAATTTTTTGTTTTCCCGTCAAAAAAAAGTATTTATTAACAATTACTTTCATAAACTGACAGTATTAATTAGAAATATTTAATGAATTGTTAACTTTTTTTATTATAAAATTTTTTTGATCACGCTGATTTAATTTAAATTGCTAAATTTGCTGAATTGGATACGGATAAAAAGGAAATACCATTTTATTTTACATTTGATTTTTGATAATGAAATTTTCAAAGTGTCAGCAACTCTATACCAATTAGAACCTGTTGAGATTATGAAAAAAAAGTGCAAGAATACACTAAACAATACAGTTGACAGTAGTATCAGATATGAAAACTCGTGAAAGGATTTGTGAGATCCTGATTTTGCATTAAAAGTACAATTAATTGCAACACAAGTCGGCATTAGAAATTTTGATTATAAGTTTACTGTTCAATATTTTATAACCATCAAATAAAAAACATAAAGTTTGTATATTTTCGCCCGTTTTATACAACTAATATTTAACAAAAATACGGACAAATTATTATTAAATAACGCAATAATTAACACATTAATTAAAGGCAATAATTCAAGATAGATGGTAATTTAGATTGTTAAAATGTCATAACGCGAATTAAAAAACATATTATATTTGGTATTTCCAAATTTGTGTCGTAATTGGTATTTATCTTTTAACATGAAAAATTAAAAAATTTTTAAAAACACAATTAACAAATACAAATTTTCAAGCAATTTTCTCTTCCAATTCTCACTTATTCAAAGAAAATTTATTATTAAACTTTTATTTCTCTCATCTAAAAAAAGAATGAGTGAAGCAAAAAAATATATATATTCTATACAACTCTTACTCATTCAAAGTTTAATTGCTTTTCTTTCTCTTTTGTTCTACTCTTTTATAAAAAGAGCGCCCGATGAAATAAAAACTTTTCTTTTTTAACATATAATTATAGTTTGAGATAAAATTAAATTAGAAATAAATCAACAATGAGCAAAGCAACGAACCGGTTAATCTGGAACTATTTTGATATTTATGAAAATAATCAACATAAACAACATTGCCAACAACAATTATCAAATAAACAACACAATCTCAAATAATTTTAGGGGCATTTTATTTTTATTGCTTAGTCGTTCTAAATAATAAGTAAATTTAGTTCAAGTTAATAATTCAATATTTACAGTTGCAATAGAATAAAGAAATGGTGTTTAATACTGAACTTTTTATTTAGTTATTTATTTTTTTACCTACATATGTTATAAAAAACTTTAGAACCCCCGTCATTAAAATAATTTGTTTTAAATAAATATTGATTTACGTGAATATTCAAACTAATTTTTTTGGTTTGACTTTCCGAACTTCATGCAAAGCAAATTGAAACGAAATATCGTCTAACCAAATAAAAAAGCTGTTACTAATTTTATACGGGTATTTAATGTAAAACAATTTTTGAGATAGTTCATATAGAAAGAAATATAGAGAGAGATATTTCATATAGAGAGAGATAATTGATAAAAGATAAAAGATCTCTCATATAGAGAGAGATAATTCATAGAGAAATATTCATAATTTATAAACATTAAATATATGGCGCAATAACAATTTATAGCAACGAACCAGCATAAAATATTTAAGGTTTTTAATATCTTTTTAAATATTAAAAGTAGAAAAAAAAAAAAACTAAACAAATAATCAAAAAAACTTCGACTAAAAATAAATAAAAATATTTCTAGAGTTTAATTTATTAAAAGTCTACCGTGACGTCAAATACTAAAACTTTTATGAATTAAACACGCTTCAAAGGAATTGCCAAAGTCTGTAGATTGCGACGCATAATTTGAAGACTCCGATTAGTTGAAAAAAATGGAGAAGACGAGCTTCGGCAAAAACAACAACATTTGTTTTTCACGGTATGCATTCATTATTTATTTTTAATCAAAAAAATTTGGTTCAAACCTTTTTTTTTAATATTATCTTTAATATGAACACAACATGTGTTGGGAGTTTGGGATCCCTTTAAGAGCAAAAAAAAAAAAATTTTATATTACTAAAGCAAAAACAATACTTAAAAAATAAAAATCGTGAAAATCCTAAAAATCCTTCCCATAAAAAAAGTGCTGTTAAAAATGTAAATGATTGGTTAACATTTATCAATTTAATAAGCCTGGGTTTTAATTAGTAACTTAAATGTAGAGTATTTCTTCTTATTCCTATAAAAAATATTTTCAAAAAAATTGTCAATCAAACATTGTAAGATAAATATATAATTATTTACAAACATAATTATATTGAGGCCTAACCAACCCTGGCCAGCAAACACATAGACAACCGTTAACTACAAGAATATTTATAATTTATTTAGTATTTTAAGTATGATAATAACAACTCTTAAAAACAATAAATTTAGTATAACCTTGCAACAATTATGTGAATAAACTATTTGATTTCGATCAATATGATAATTTATTCAATTAATGATTCTATGAACTGCAAAGACTTACTTCTTCTTTATCTATTTTTCTGCCACCAATATCAACACAATTTCCATTTACACTTTTTAATTCTTCATCTTCATGAGAATTACTGACAGAATGTCTGGTGTTAACCATCTTTTCATGAAATATTGAACAGTAGTTATTATTTTCTACATAAACATAAAATAAACTAGATACTAAAATCTTTAGAAACACTAGCAAAATTTGGTTTAAATAAATTATGAAATTACAAAGATAAATCAAAATTATGATAACTATCAGGCACAACAACATTTCTAAAATATGATTAAATCAAACTTATATCGGTTTAAATAAACAATTTCAAGATATATTAAAGTTAACCAAATCCAAATAGTTACAAATATTTATGACTGAAATAATATTAAAGCAATTAAAAAAAGGTAAGTACAAAAAAAAACATAACAACTATAGGAATAACTTGTCATATTTAAATAAAAATTTTATTCTAAGATTAAAAGTAATTAATGCTAATGATGATCAAATCAATATTTGTTAACAATAAAGTAAAAAAAAAAAAAAACTTCTATCATTTATACTTATTCAGAATCGCTTAATTAGAATTACATAAATGCAAGAACTAGTATTTACGTTTATTTAGAATCAATCAACAACAATCTAAATATAAAAATTATTTATACATTCATTCAGAACCACTACATAATAACTTATTTAAATTAGATAATATTTTAATTTAAGTTAAACTGATATTTTTACTTGAACCAATTACATTATATTATTGTTCTTAGTAATAAATTTTGAATTTATTTAAATTTTGAGGTTTTTTAATTTATTCAAAATGTACTAATTATTTTTTTTATAATATAAGTACTCATCGCAGGTGCTTAAAAAAGTTACTAAAATAATATTTTGACTATCAAATATATTAAAATACCCCAAAAAATTTTAGCATTTGTAACCATCATAACCATAGAAATCGATTTACTTTTTTTTTTTTAATTATCTTCGCTTCCAACAAGGTTGCAAGCAACCACTAATTAGTGTTGGAAGTTACTGGAAGAGAAAAGATGAAGATTGTAGAGCAAGATAACGATTGACAGACTTGTGTTGAACTTTTATTGAACTATTTCTAGGAAACCATATATGATTTTTAAAAATTAGTATCATTATTCTTCAAATTAGTTCAATTGATATTTTAACAGACGTGTTGTTCACAATATGAAGAGGTTTAAATGTAAAACTTTTGACTATTTTGATATTACAATTAGATTGAACTTCTTAAATTTGTATTATGTATGGCTTCTATTTTTCTAATTAATTTACTTAAGTAGAGATACATCTTTTTAATTAATTACTATATATTTATTGATACAAAAATAACAATTTATTATAACTATTATAATATAATAAAGATTTTAATAACAAAAATATTATTATAAATTGTATAACAATTTTATTATAATATAAATAATATATGATTTTTTAATTTATTTATCAATTCTAGATTTAATTTTTTTAATAATTAAAGAGTAATTAAATAAAAAATTGGTAAATAATAAAAAATCAACATATAATTATTTTAATTACAATAAAACAATTATATACTCTTATAAACTCTTGAAAAGTCAATGGACCTTTGAGTTAATAGACCATTAATTTTTTCAAGAGCTTAATCTAATATAACAGAAAATTTTTATTAATAAAAATTGATTTGTGTAGCAAATTTATCTATTTTAATTTTATATGAATATTTTTCGTTGCCTCTATTCATAGGTTTTTGTCGAATTAAATTTGTATCGTGCAGAATCAACAAAAATATTTTTGAAAATATTTATGAATTAGCATTAATAGCTATTTATACTGCTATTTATTTAGTAGTAATTAGCACTATTTCCCTTATTTTTTTGTCTTTATTTGATTTTTTGTTGTAAACACAATGACACAAATATCAATAACTAAAAAATAATAGTGAATAACTTTTAACTCTTAACTTTTTTACTAATAACTGCAATCTCTTAAGAAACTGAATGATTTTATAATAATGAAGCCTTGATTGTAATTACTACATTAATTTAATTTAAGTGTTTAATTGCGGTTTAGGTTTTAAAAACTCTTTCACTGATAAACGATTAATTATATAATTTAATAATACTGTGGTAATTTTAACCGCGAAATTCGTGTACCGAGATAGGAGATGATATTGCGAGCGTTTTTATTAAAATATTTCGAATTTTTTTTGTTCATCGTCGTTTCGAATTTTTTTAAAGTTCGAACAATATAGTACAAAAAATACTACTTGCTTAAATAAATATTTTTCTTTAAAAAGTAAAACACTATTTTAAACATTATTACTATTTTTTAGTATTTTTATAAGAAAACTCATAATACAAAATGTTTTATAGTATTTGGTTGGGCCGCATTTTGCATCAATTACTGGTCGTATTCTTCTTGGTATTTAGTGTCTCTATGAGATTTTTTTGTTGTTGGTTATACCATGGTAAAACAGTAACATTTTTTGGTTCTAAATATCTTTTCACTATTGAACTTTATAGTATTGGACAGAATCATGCATAAAGATGCATTTGGATGCATGGCCGACGACATGGGTTTTGAAGTGGAGGGGCACAATCGTGTATTTCTAAAAAAAAGTCCACTATATCTAGAACTTTCTCTAAAAAAAGAAAGAAAGAAAAAAAAAGAGGTCCTTTAGAAAACAGTGGGGAGGGGGGGCAAGTGCCTCTCTCCCGGCGTTATCGGCTCTGGGATAGATTAGTAAACCAATCATGTAACTGAGGAAATAATTTGGTAGCTAATACTTTTTTTATATTTATCCTGGTTCATCATCCCTTCAACTATATAAAGAAGGCCACTGCCCTAATCACTTATAATTGATCATACCATCACCAAGGACAACAATATTAGTAGAGGGGTAAAGAGAAATGAGAAGATCAATTTGATCAGAAATTACATTTAAAAGAGCGCAGTCTTAGGAAGAAAGAGAATAACAAAGAACAAAAAAAAGGTGATAGAAAATTTAAAAATAAGGGTCAAGCGATTCATAACTGATTTCTCGACAAATTGGTGAATTGATGAGTAAGTATTCGCCCCTCTCTGAAAGCTACCACAGAGTTTGAGAAACCAAGGAGGTATAATAGACTGGAGGGAGAACGAAGTTAAAATACGTCATTTCTCAAGGAACAGTCTTAGTTGTAACATAATTTTCTATTTAACGCCGCGTAATTATCATAATTTAAAGATAATCAATCGTTTTCCACTTTTATTTTATCCAACGATATTGTTTCAAAAATTATTAAAGCAATTAAAAGATAGAAGTTTAAAAAATTCGTAAACAATAGTTAGAGTTATTTTATTATTTTTTATGCTTTGTGTCCGATTTACAAAAAAGTATTTTATATCTATATATTTAGAACATAGCAATTTGTTCCAGCAAAAATATTACAACACAAAATAAAATCCTTCTTATAATAAGTTTCTTCCCGAAAAAACTTCCTTAAGAACATAACAACGTTCTAGCTAAACAGGGAAGCAAAAGATAATGTTCAACCAAGTAGCAGAAATTGTGTAACACTTTGATATTCATAATTAGTATAGAGGCCTATTTAAAAAACGAAAAAACTTTATGTAAATCATGATTTTTGTTGTGATTACTACTTGATAGATGGAACAATTGTTAAAAACTTATCCAGTCAACTTTTAAGATAAAAAATAATAATAACAATAATAATAATATGTAATAAGTAAAACCACATAAAAAAGTAGGTTATAAAAGGAATTTAAGTTAAATAAGTAAACATAATATTAACTAATAAATGTAAAATTGCATAAAAATTTATATAATTATACCAAAAAAATCAGACTTTTTAATATATATAACAATTAATATACTTAAACAAGAATTATAATAAAATAAGTAAGTTATAATAAAAATAATTATTTAAAATAAAATATTAAAAATAAAATTAAAATAAAATAACAAACGATAATAAAAGTAAGTCAAAAGATAGAAAGTAAAAAATTAAAAACTAAAGTTAAGCGTAACCTTTTAGGTAGAAATGATGGAGTGATTTTAAGAACAGCTTCTTGAACCTAAGGATGAGACCTTATTTTAGGGTGTTCGGAAGGGAGTTCCAAGAAAGGATACACTGGTATGTAATGGAATTAATTCCATGTTTACTTGTCTGTTTTAGTGGGAGAGTTACGTTGTTATAAGTGACTGATCTTAGGTTATGCCCACATGTTGTTCTATTAATAAAGAAGTTGTGAAATGTGTATATGTGTATATGTATGTATATATATATATATATGTATATATATATATATGTATATGTGTATATGTATATATGTATGTATATATAATATATATATATATATATATATATATATATATATATATATGTGTGTGTGTGTATATATGTATATATATATATATATATATATATATATATATATATATATATATATATATATATATATATATATATATATATATATATATATATATATATATATATATATATATATATGTATATATATATATATGTGTGTGTGTGTGTGTATATATGTATATATATATATATATATATATGTATATATATATATATATATATATATATATATATATATATATATATATATATATATGTATATATACATATATATATATATACATATATATATATATATATATATATATACATATATATATATATATATATATATATATATATATATATATATATATATATATATATATATATATATATATATATATATATACACATACATACATATATATATATATATACATATATATATATTTTTTATATATATATATATTATTATATATATATATATTTATATATATATATATATATATATATATATATAAAAGTATACCGTATTAAAGTATAGAAAAAAAAAATATATATATATATATATATAAAAATATATATATATATATAATATATATATATATATATATATATATATATATATATATATATATATATATATATATATATATATATATATATATATATATATATATATATATATATATATGTATATAACAGTAGAAATGGTAATTACAAAGCTAATTACAAAAAATTATTTCTAATTTTACTTAATTAACTTTTTATATAGACATAGATATACGCCAAACGGCG